TCCTATGCCAAATCAAAGTCGAGAACAACGTCCAGTATTGGGCCCCTACTTAAACAAGATGGGTCCTACACAGATGACAGCAAGGAAATGAGTGAGCTACTCAAGTCCCAATATGACTCAGTTTTTAGCAAGCCGCTAACCAGACTGAGAGTCGAAGATCAAAATGAATTTTTTATGAGAGAGCCACAAAATTTGGTTAACACAAGCCTATCCGATGTTATCCTGACGCCAAATGACTTCAAACAGGCGATAAATGACATGCCCATGCACTCTGCCCCAGGGCCAGACTCATGGAACTCCGTGTTCATCAAGAAGCCCCTATCACGAGCCTTTTCCATCCTATGGAGAGGGAGCATGGACACGGGGGTCGTCCCATAGTTACTAAAAACAACAGACATAGCCCCACTCCACAATGGGGGCAGTAAAGCAACAGCAAAGAACTACAGACCGATAGCACTAACATCCCATATCATAAAAATCTTTGAAAGGGTCCTAAGAAGCAAGATCACCACCCATCTAGAAACCCATCAGTTACACAACCCAGGGCAACATGGGTTTAGAACAGGTCGCTCCTGTCTGTCTCAACTATTGGATCACTACGACAAGGTCCTAAATGCACTAGAAGACAAAAAGAATGCAGATGTAATATATACAGACTTTGCAAAAGCCTTCGACAAGTGTGACCATGGCGTAATAGCGCACAAAATGCGTGCTAAAGGAATAACAGGAAAAGTCGGTCGATGGATCTATAATTTCCTCACTAACAGAACACAGAGAGTAGTCGTCAACAGAGTAAAGTCCGAGGCAGCTACGGTGAAAAGCTCTGTTCCACAAGGCACAGTACTCGCTCCCATCTTGTTCCTCATCCTCATATCCGACATAGACAAGGATGTCAGCCACAGCACCGTGTCTTCCTTTGCAGATGACACCCGAATCTGCATGAGTGTCTTCCATTGCAGACACTGCAAGGCTCCAGGCGGACATCAACCAAATCTTTCAGTGGGCTGCAGAAAACAATATGAAGTTCAACTATGAAAAATTTCAATTACTCAGATATGGTAAACACGAGGAAATTAAATCTTCATCAGAGTACAAAACAAATTCTGGCCACAAAATAGAGCGAAACACCAACGTCAAAGACCTGGGAGTGATCATGTCGGAGGATCTCACCTTCAAGGACCATAACATTGTATCAACCGCATCTGCTAGAAAAATGACAGGATGGATAATGAGAACCTTCAAAACTAGGGAGGCCAAGCCCATGATGACACTCTTCAGGTCACTTGTTCTATCTAGACTGGAATATTGCTGCACACTAACAGCACCTTTCAAGGCAGGTGAAATTGCTGACCTAGAAAATGTACAGAGAACCTTCACGGCGCGCATAACGGAGATAAAACACCTCAATTACTGGGAGCGCTTGAGGTTCCTAAACCTGTATTCCCTGGAATGCAGGCAGGAGAGATACATGATTATATACACCTGGAAAATCCTAGAGGGACTAGTACCGAACTTGCACACGAAAATCACTCACTACGAAAGCAAAAGACTTGGCAGACGATGCAACATCCCCCCAATGAAAAGCAGGGGTGTCACTAGCACGTTAAGAGACCATACAATAAGTGTCAGGGGCCTGAGACTGTTCAACTGCCTCCCAGCATACATAAGGGGGATTACCAACAGACCCCTGGCAGTCTTCAAGCTGGCACTGGACAAGCACCTAAAGTCGGTTCCTGACCAGCCGGGCTGTGGCTCGTACGTTGGTTTGCGTGCAGCCAGCAGCAACAGCCTGGTTGATCAGGCTCTGATCCACCAGGAGGCCTGGTCACAGACCGGGCCGCAGGGGCGTTGAACCCCGGAACTCTCTCCAGGTAAACTCCAGGTAACTCACCCAGCCAGTCGGTGTCATGTAAGGCAGTAATAAAATTACTTACTAATGGCTCATCATGTAGTCAAAATGAGATCTTAGTCATGTCCTGAGGCAGTCTACCTAAGTTGGTTTTAAGAAAAGTTGTATAGTGGTCTGTAGTGGTGTCTGTGATTATGCCTGCTTTTAGTGGAGATGTAGTATTGGTCCAGATATGATCAAGTAGTGAGGCACTTGTCTGTGATTCTTCTTGGTTTAGTTATAGATGGTAGCAGCAAGCAGTTGTTCACAGTGTTTGTGAAATCAGCTACTTGGGGGTCAGCTGCTTGAATGAAGTTTATATTAAAGTCACCAGCAAGTAGCAGGTGGTGTTTTGTCATCTCTGAGTCAGTTTTTGTGTTTCTTAAGTTGTCACTAAATATGGTGACATTAAAACATTAAACGTTAAACAATACCAAAGATAGCTGACACAAATCCACTACGTTTATAGTATGCTCCTCACTTAGCAACAAATTCGTTTACCAATGTGGTCTTAGGAATGCAACTCCATTGTTAAGTGAGGAGAGGCTATCTGGAGCTATCTGGAGCTATATTTACATTTGTACCATATTTTGTGTTCTGTTTGTTAGAATCTGAATATCCATTTCTCTACCTTTCCTTTTATACCCACTGACCTCATTTGTCAAATGCTTTTGGAAAATCCTTATGAACCATATCTGCTTTTTAGTTTCATTTCAAAGTCTCTGTAATTTTGTCATAATGAACTAATAAACATGACAGGCATGATCTTCCTGTTTTAAACCACATTAACTTGGAGTGTCAAGATCATGTTTTTCATAAACACAGTAAATGAGTAAGGCACATGTGCAGTAGATGATTAAGACACGTGCAACAAATGGTATCTTTATTGTTGAAATGTTTTGCCTACACAGTCAAATACAGCAGTGATTAAGCATGGAGTCATCTCTGTATTCGTCTGTGTGAGCGAAATATTTCAACAATACAGATATCCAACTGTTGCATATGGGTTTTACTCTTCTATTTCTTGTCACTGTATACCATTTTCATAATTATAAAAACAGTAAATTGCCAATGCATCACCTTGTCGAAGATTTTAATTTTTTTTTTTTTCAACAAGTCGGCCGTCTCCCACCGAGGCAGGGTGACCCAAAAAAGAAAGAAAATCCCCAAAAAGAAAATTCTTTCATCATCATTCAACACTTTCACCACACTCACACATTATCACTGTTTTTGCAGAGGTGCTCAGAATACAACAGTTTAGAAGCATATACGTATAAAGATACACAACATATCCCTCCAAACTGCCAATATCCCAAACCCCTCCTTTAAAGTGCAGGCATTGTACTTCCCATTTCCAGGACTCAAGTCCGACTATATGAAAATAACCGGTTTCCCTGAATCCCTTCACTAAATATTACCCAGCTCACACTCCAACAGATCGTCAGGTCCCAAGTACCATTCGTCTCCATTCACTCCTATCTAACACGCTCACGCACGTTTGCTGGAAGTCCAAGCCCCTCGCCCACAAAACCTCCTTTACCCCCTCTCTCCAACCCTTTCGAGGACGACCCCTACCCCGCCTTCCTTCCCTATAGATTTATATGCTTCCATGTCATTCTACTTTGATCCATTCTCTCTAAATGACCAAACCACCTCAACAACCCCTCTTCTGCCTCTGACTAATGTTTTTATTAACTCCACACCTTCTCCTAATTTCCACACTCCGAATTTTCTGCTAATATTTACACCACACATTGCCCTTAGACAGGACATCTCCACTGCCTCCAACCGTCTCCTCGCTGCTGCATTTACACCCCAAGCTTCACATCCATATAAGAGTGTTAGTACTACTATACTTTCATACATTCCCTTCTTTGCCTCCATAGATAACGTTTTTTGACTCCACATATAACCTCAACGCACCACTCACCTTTTTTCCCTCATCAATTCTATGATTAACCTCATCCTTCATAAATCCATCCGCCGACACGTCAACTCCCAAGTATCTGAAAACATTCACTTCTTCCATACTCCTCCTCCCCAATTTGATATCCAATTTTTCTTTATCTAAATCATTTGACACCCTCATCACCTTACTCTTTTCTATGTTCACTTTCAACTTTCTACCTTTACACACATTCTCAAACTCATCCACTAACCTTTGCAATTTTTCTTTAGAATCTCCCATAAGCACAGTATCATCAGCAAAAAGTAACTGTGTCAGTTCCCATTTTGAATTTGATTCCCCATAACTTAATCCCACCCCTCTCCCGAACACCCTAGCATTTACTTCTTTTACAACCCCATCTATAAATATATTAAACAAATATAAAAAAAAAAATGTCGATAAAAGTTTTTTTACATGTTTTCAAATGTAAAACAAAAAAGAAGATCTACATTTTTGTACATACTTTCAGATGTTGAAAAAACGTATATATACGTTTGGACCATTTAAGGGTTAAAAGGAGAAACTCATTTTTTCTTTTGGGCCACCCTGCCTTGGTGGGATACAGCCGGTGTGTTGAAAAAGAATATACCTCAATGGAAATAAGTCGCTCTGTCTGACTTTTCTTGATTATCCTGGGTAATCTACACATATGCTGCTAAGTATGATAATTTATGTAACTGTATTTATGTGTGAATAACAAAAAAAGGCACAATACCGTGACTGGAACGATACACAAATAACCTGCACATAGAAGAGAGGAGCTTACGACAACGTTTCGGTCCAACTTGGACCATTTACAAAGTCACACTGTGACTTTGTAAATGGTCCAAGTCGGACCGAAACGTCGTCGTAAGCTCCTCTCTTCTATGTGCGGGTTATTTGTGTATGTATTTATGTGTACCTGTACCTGAATAAACTTATTATATATATGTATGTATGTATTTTTCCAACTCTACAGTCATTTCCCACCAAGGTAGGGTAACCCAAAGAAGAAAACATATTTACTATCATTCATTTAACTGCCATCTTGCCAGTGTGCTGATATCCCAATTCAGATTATCCTCCAATTATTATTATTAAATAATAAATACACGAATCTTCAAAGTGCATCATTATGCATCCAAGAATAAAGCTAACAAACCTTATTTTCTAAAAAAAACTTACATTTGATTGTATATCTCGGCAAAGTTTCCCTCCTCCCCTGCTGGTAGTGTAAGATACTCCTTAGGGCTTGATGTGTTCATTCCCAAACAGAAGATACTCATGTTATGTCCACCCACAAGCAGGGAATACTCTCCATCCACTGTTACACGCAACACACTCTGTGCCTGTTATAAATTGAGATATTAGCCCAAGTTAAATACACTTTTTTTTTTTTACACAGATCAGTTTTACAAGCTAAGAGCTGTTACTCAACTTCAACTCATCTCAAAGCCTCAGCCCTAAGGTATACTACCACCCCCCCCAAGGATGCCACCTGCAACAGTCGACTAACACCCAGGTACCTACTTATTGTAAGGTGAACTAGGATGGCAGGTGTAAGGGAACATGTCCAACATTTCCACCTGGCTGGGAACTGAACCCTATAGACATTGAATTGTGGGAGCTGAGTGCACTACCTACCACATATGATGTATGAGATTTTCTAAAGGGTTTTTCTTCTGCCTTGTCACTGTCAATTAATAATATAAAAATTTTCCTCCACTAACAAATATTGATATAATTATAGCACTTCTGACTGTTTCAGAAATATATGACTTTTAGAAAGTTTGTTTGATTTCCTATTTGTAGCTACAGGAGTATAGCTATGTTGATGGTGTCCCATCTTCATACTATACAGAAAGCCCCTTGTTATGCAGAGCATTTCAAGCAAATTAGGTTAATTTTATCCCCAGAATGCAACCCACACCAGTTAGCTAACACCCAGGTACATGTACCTGTTTGGCTGCTAGGGAAATATGGACAGTAGCTGTCTTAAGGAAACATGCCCTAATTGTTCCACACGTACTGGGGATTGAACCTTGGATCTCAACGTGTAAGCTGAGTGCGCTACCAACCCAGCTACAGGGCACTTAGTCTTCTCTTCATCATAATTTTTTTATTTCTAGTGGTCATAGCACTTGCTACTTCTCGTATCTTAGTCCAGTATTCTAATGTTCTGGCTGTGAAGAAAAATATTTTAATATTCAACTGACACTTTTTTCTCAGTTTACAACTGTGACCTTATGAAGAAAAAAAAAAGTGGGCAAAGCAAGCTTTTATAGTGACAAAGTTTAAGTGTAAGGAGAGCTTTCTGCAACAGAGCAAAATGTTGTTGCAATAAAAATGTACACCACACCTTTATCTTCTCTTCAGTACTGTTAGCAGTACATCACTGTATTACAGCTGTAACCTTTTGCTCTCAGTGCTGAGAGTACTAAAGAAATGCTAATTTTTTGCTTAAACTTTAATGACCTTACAAGTGTATCTGCACATAAACAATCCTATTGCTCATCTCTGTTCAACTGTTCATTTGTGTACAGGAGTCTAAAACATCAATGCCTATCCTAGACACTAACCTCAGAACATGTACTATATCCACAGGGCTGTGCACGGCACTTCTGCTTCTTGCGAGGACGATGTTCAGTGGCACACAAACTTCTGTTTACTCTCTGACTTTCTGTATTTATGCAGTTGACTCCTCGGCGCTGTACACCTCGTTTACCACACTCTGCCTGGCACTGCCCCAAAAAATATCTGGTTACTTATCTAAATGCATAAAGCCTTATCATTCAAGCATCAAGGGTTGCCTTGGAAATAAAAAAAGGAAGAAGTGAAAAACAGAATACATACAGAGGCTCCTCACTTTACGATGGGTCGACTTACAATATTTCAACTTTACGATGGTGTGATAGTGATGCACATTCAGTACTGTACATTTATTGAAACAATAAACTTGTATTCATTTATTTACTTTTCAATATTGGTATGTATTTAGTTACAGTAATTATTTCCTCATTTACTTATTCAGTGACCAGTTATTTATTTATCCTATATTTATATTCAACTTACGATATTTTCAACTTACAATGGGTTCACCGGACTGTAACCTTATCGTAAGACGAGGAGCACCTGATATCACTAACAACATTTACAAATAATCTGTTTATGACATATATATTATTTTCCCATCTAGAGCTGGATTCACTGGTGATCACCATAAATGTTATATCAAAAAGAACTTAAACTCAAAAGATCTGTGATCACTTACTGGCTTCCAAGGTTTAACTTTCCAATAATATCCTAAGTTACAATGACCAAGGTTACACTTGCGAGTATTTCGGGGCTTTTTGGCATCATCACACCCTCGAGTCACGGGTTGAGGGTCAACCCATCCCAGGTTGTTGATGGCATGGCAGCTAGACTCTCGTGTCTCTATTCCTGCACCACACACCTTCGAACACTGCTCCGTCAGTACCAGCAAGGAGGTTTGTGGGGTCAGTCCAGGACAATGACAGTTTGCAGTGAAAGGAAGTAAGAATACCGGGCGGACAAGCCCAGACCAAGTCAAAAAATGAGCTTTAATATATTAAAAAACAAAACAGGATGAAGTTTAACAAATATAGCATTTAAAATGTTTATTGATGAAATTATTAGGTGAAATATTTATAATTTAAATAAATTA